AGGAACTTCAAATCATCATTAGGCCAAAACCTATCAAGAAAAGGACAACCCAAGTATATAATCATTTAAATACCACATAAACCCATCTCTAAATAATTACATAATCTAAAACTAACTGATTATCAATACCCATATGAATATTAAATCAATTAACACCAAATTAATGCTTAGCTAAATTTTATCAACAACTCTTACAAACATGTAATAATTCAATAATTTTGTGAATTCAACATCCTTAAGACTTTTATATCATATTTTAAGCTAATTTCATCTTTCAATCATCAATTAATCTCATGATCAATTATTAATTAAATAAAATTTAACCATTGATCAATCATCAATTAAACCAATAGTCACACCATCACACATGATCAATCATTGATTAAGCACATCAACACAATAATTCATACAATTCTTATGTCTTGTGATGTAGTTGAGTTTGATTATACTTACTTGGAGTTTAACTAGTATTGAGAACACTTGAGTTACTCATAAAAATCCTACATTCATCCTTGCAAAGTTTTTACCAAAGCTTGCTTAATTCCTTCCTTTACATTTTGGCCAACTTGCATTTTCCTTACTTTTCGACCACTCTTGCTTCTCCTTCACCAAATTAGTTTTTTCTTCTTCTTATGTTTTGATGTTTAACTAGCCTAATTTTTCCAAACCCAACTTATTTATTCCTCCCCCTATTTATACCCATTTTTTCCAACGTAGGAAGCTTAATGAAATCTTAGGAAGTTGCTTGCAACTTTCTAGGAGTTTCTTGCTATATATCTCTCTAAGTTAGGCTAGAAATTTCTTCCTTATTCCTCTCTTCTCTTGGCCAAATTAATGGGTGCAAATGACTCTAAAATTATCACATGTATAAAATGTTACTAAGTTGGCTTGAATATTCTTCCCTTTTCTCTTGGTTGAATTAATCCATGCAAGGTGTTAGGATTTTTCCACTTAAATGACTACTTGGATGGCCACCTTTAATTGCTTAACTTAGTTAAATTTTTTAAAACTCTCTAGATTTATCATGAAATTTCCATGTAATTTCCTAAGTCAACATTTACATACAACATTATTCATATTTTAGCTTTAATGTTAATTCATAAGCATACATAGCTTATTCAATCCAGATTGAATTCTTCAAATCCTCTAAGTTAGTTCAATTTTACATATTAGTCTCTTAACTTTACCTCTTGATTTAATTAAGTTCCTAATGTTTTAATTGTTTCAATTAAATCTTTAGATTTTTACAATGAACTCCTAGGTTACTCACACATTTATAACATTTAATAATTAATAATGCAAACATAATGTACCATATTAATGCTAGTATAAAACACATATTTCATACAAACATAAAATATAATTGTCACATATTGTAACCAAAAATACACATCATTCACATATTTTAAATTAGTGATCATATACAAATATGTATAAGACCATTCAAGGTTTGGGGTGTTACACCCTCCTCTTTTTATAAAAATTCATCTTCGGAATTTGACTTACTCGACGTTTCCATGTGAGTCTTCCTTAACCTATGCTTTTGTCATTAAACACACTAATAAACAATAAACAAACATGAATACTCAATCAATATAAGCACTTGTTAATGGTGTTGTTGGAGCCCAAGCTTGCATGCACCATGAGGTCTACTAAAGTCCACTAGGTCAAATCATGCTCTAATACCACATTTCTAATACTTTTGACCTAACTAATGCCAAAAATGCTACCGGTAATACCCTACACTTGAAGTGCAATGAATGTGAGACACTAAATCTCATGTCTTCTCTTTTATATTTAAAATACAAAACGCAATGGAAAACTTTTATATATTTAAAACCTAATGTAGTCCTAAGGTAAGCCCATTAAAACTATTAACAAAACATACAAAATTAAATTCATTTTAAACTTCATTAAATGATAAATCATTTCAGTAAGTCATAAGTTTCTTAAAATACTAAAACCATTTCATAAACCTCTACCATAATGGAAAATTTGTAGGTTCGAAGTCCAATTAAAAACCTTTAATTTTGGCTCATTGAAAGCTAATTTATAATTTATTAAGCTCTTTAAAACTCGTTTAGGTGAACATGTAAACATGTTAGAATTTGTATCAATTATTCATTCATTAAATTCATTAAACACAATTTATTATTATTATGAAAACCAATTCAAGATTAAGAAATTATATGGCCATTGAAATCATTCTAAGTATGATAATATAAAACCATTTTATTGCATTTTAGATGTCATTTTGGTTAACCATTTTACTAAGTCAATTTATTTAACTATTTTATGAAACCCGTCAAACATCGGACTAATTTATAACCATTCAAACCACTTGTTTATTAACAATCTAAGTTTACAAAAAGTATTGAGACATGAAAGATAGAAAATTGTCTAAACTTGCACTCTTAACCTACGATTATAGTACACATTCGACAAGTTTGGCTCATTTCGACATCATCTTCAATTTCACATCACACATCACTAATTCACCTATATCATAAGACAACCAATGAGCTAGCACCTAGTAAGTTTAATCATGTACAATGTAGGGAAAAATATTTTCATAACGTTAAAATATATTTTCTATGATCAAGCACACCCTACCGAATGTGTATATATTTAGCCCTCCATAAAAACCATGACTCGTAAAAACCATGAAAAGCTCTAGACATATCTTTATGGAGCTTGTGACGTCTACAAAGAGTTAATCACTCACCTTGTAAGCCATGATTAAACATGCCTACCCATGAACCTTTCTTGAAAATCATACATTTATCTTCCTCTCTCGAATGCATAAAACATGATGAAAACCTTTTCATGACATGAATGCAAGCAAGTAACATAAAATATAGCTCATTAATCTCACGTAACCATGTAACCTAAATTCATCAAGTGTTCCCACCAATTGAATACGTAAACATTCATTCCAAGTAACATTAAAAAATAACATACCAACGAAACCAAATAACACAATAAAGGCATAATCACTCCATAAATACATGGAAACATAACTAAATCGTTTAAGTTATGTTGGCTGAATCTTTAATAAGAAACTTTCAAGTGAATACATGAATATAAAACTACGTCTCACTAATCAAGTACCTAATCCGAATTCATCCAAACATCACACCAATAATCAATCATCAAAGAACCAAGTAGCCTTAAACATGATTCTTGCTCGAATGATCAACAACATGAATACAAATATCAATTAACCATATAACACTACATATTGACATAACAAACAATTACATGAATATAATACATGAACATCAAGAAAAAAAATCAAGGAATTTCAAATCACCATTAGGTCGAAATCTATTAGGAAACTATCCAAAGGAAAACCCAAGTATATAATTATTTACATACCACATAAACACATCTTCAAATAATTATATAATCTAAAGCTAACATGATTATCAATACACATATAAATATCAAATCAATTAACACCAAATTGATGCTTATTCGAATTTTATCAACAACTCCCACAAACATGCAATAATTCATTAATTTCATGAATTCAACATCCTTAAGACTTCTATATCATGTTTAAAGATAATTTTATCTTTTAATCATCAATTAACCTCATCATCAATTATTAATTAAACATAACTTAACCATTGATTGATCATCAATTAAACTAATAGTCACATCATCACACATGATCAATAATTGATTAAGCACATCAACGTAATAATTGATATAATTCTTATGTTTTTTGATGTAGTTGAGTTTGATTACACTTACTTAGAGTCTAACTAGTGTTGAGAACACTTGAATTGCTCACAAATATCCCACCTTTTTCCTTGTAAAGTTCGGCCAAAGCCTTCTTAATTCCTTCCTCTACCTTTCGACCAACTCTCACTTTCCTTATCTTTTGGTCGCTCTTGCTTTTACTTCACCAAATAGTTTCTTTTTCTTTTTCTTCTTATGTTTTGGTGTTTAACTAGGCTAATTTTGGCAATCCCAACCTAGTTATTCCTCTAATTTATATTCATTTTTGCTGACTTAGGAAACTTCATGGAAGCTTAGGAAGTTCCTTTCATTAGGTGATTTAATTTGGTAAATTTCCTATAAGTTTTTTGCTAGAGATCTCTGTAAATTAGGCTAGAAATCTCTTCCTTATTCCTCTCCTCTTTTGGCTTAATTAATGGGTGCATATAACTCTAAAATTGTCACGTGTATAAAATACTTTAAGTTAAGATATTTCTCTAGATTATTCTAGATCTATTAAGGTTAAAATGTTACTAAGTTGGCTAGAATATTCTCCCCCTTTCTCTCCTTCTCTTGGCTTCAAGGTGTTAGGATTTTGCCACTTAAATGGTTGCTTGGATGGCCACCTTTAATTGCTTAATTTAGTTAAATTTTTTAGAACTCTCTTGATCTACCATGAAATTTTCATGTAATTTCCTAAGTCAACATTTACTTACAACATTATTAATATTTTATTTTAATATTAATTCATGAGCATGCATAACTTATTCAATCTAGTAGAATTCTTCAAGTCCTTTAAGTTGGTTCAATTTTACATATCAGTCATTTAACTTTACCTTTTGATTTAATTGAGTTCTTAACTTTTTAATTGTTCGAATTAAGTTTCTAGATTGTTGCAATTAAGTCCTAGGTTACTCACACATTTATAACATGAATAATGCAAACACAATGCATCATATCAATGCAAACATAAAACACACATTCCCTATAAATATCAAATATAATTGTCACATATTGTAACCAAAAACACATATCATTCAAATATTTTAAATAAGTGATCACACACAAGTGTAGAACTACTCAAAGCTTGAGGTGTTACATATATCATTCACATACAAGCATGCTAAATTTGAGTACTTTCACCACTTTATTTCTTAAACATCAAGTACAATTTTTTGTTTAAAGCTTTGCTTGCTAATTAACACAACATACCGATTGTAGCCAGATCTCAGACGGTACAATAATAACTCAAGTGATTAATTGTTCGGTACTAACTAATTAACCAAATGGCAATTCTTCCTAACCTCTCCATTCTCTCCCGTAAGCACTCCAATAGAACCCATTTTTACCATTGACCGAGCAAATTGAGCAAAGAAAAAACTAGGATGTGTAAAGAATATCTTAGTTATGGAAGCTGCTCCTAGGTCTGTAAGTAATGCTGCGTCTGATGCAAACAGGCTCTTGTTTTGATTTAAAGCCTCATAGTAGTGGCTATCAAAGGAAAATGAGCTGCCAGGGTCCATATCAACTGCGGTAGAAAGATTGGAGCATTGTGTTTTCAAAAAATTAGCATAGTCTGAATCTATTGAAGGATCGGCGTCGCCTTTTCCTGTGAAATTGAAGAGCCTTCTTGCAATAATCCTACAATGTCCCACTCCAATGGTATGTGCCCCTACATATATACAATTAGAAGTGCATGAAAATAAGAAAAGTTAATGTGAAAATTGGCAATGGAAAACGAAATGAGGGAGTATTGGATTACCTGATAAAGCAACAAGATCCACAATATCTAGCTCATTGCTTTCAAACTGTTGTTTGAGAGTTGTGAAGTTTGCTCCTGCAGATGGTAAATCTCTTTCAGCCTCAGAGGCTAAAGAAACTCTACCATCTTTCCTTCCGGTAAAAACATGCCATAAAGGATCCCTAAACTGCATGATATCAATTAATGGCATTATTATAGCTAATCTCCCTCTAGAAAAAACCTTCATGTGATCACTAACATGCATTTTGTACTTGATTACAATATTTCACACATTGTAATCACTAGTCTTACTTGGAAAGAAACCGCATCTCTTGCTGCCAAGGCTACAATATCAGCACATGAGACTGTTTCAGGACAGTCTTCTTCCACTCTAGCTTTTATTTCATCAATCACATCATAGCCTGATATAGAGCGATTCGGTAGAGCATCTTTCTCCGCCGTATTATTGCTTGTTGAATCCAACAGGATTGATGCATCACATCCCTGCAACAATTAATGATAAAATATATGGGATGCTTTAATTAATTAACACAGAAACAGAAAATAGATGTAGAAATGTATACCTACCCTCACAAAACAGTCATGGTAGTGTAGCCTTAAAAGCTTAGCTGGTAAGGCAGGGTTTTCTTTGACCCTACTCCATGTTATATTTCTCGAAATTTCTTCAAGTCTAGGGCAAATCTTGTTTTGGAACCTGTTGTGCTGGTGTGCACTAGAAAACTTAAGAACAGTAAGCACTAAGAGAAAGAGACACAAGAGAGGGAAGCTAAACCTCATCTTAATTTGCTACAACGAATTAAAAACACTGATATATAGAAGTTCAAATGTATTAATTTGCAGCTCTAATGAACTACCAAAGCACCACGACCCCATTTATAGTCATCTTAAACCAGCAATCCACCTTGAATATTGGAGTTTTAGGCTATATTAAACAAATAAGAGTTATCCATTAACTCCTAATAGAGAGGAATAATTAATGTCAACCCTCTCTCTCTATATATATATATGTGTGTGGTTGTACCAATAATCATTGAAATTTATTCATTGAACCACTGAAACATAGAGCATACTAAATTTTGTCCCTATTTATTTGTCGTCCTATTCAACCAAGAATAATATTGTTTATTGATTGACTTTGTTTAGAGAAAGAAAATAAATAAAAACTGATTCAGTTTTTATTTGAGGGAGTTAGATAGTTTAGCTTCGTTGTCATCATGATCTTTTACGCAATTAATACGTTTTAAAATTCTAAGATATTTGCTAGTACTTAAAAAATTAGATTGTAATAATAAATTATTGATTTAGTAATAAATGAGCTGGTTTTCTGATAAATTTTTCTAATATACAAAATTTAAATTTTAAAATAATATTTATTGAAAAAATAAAATTTTAGATCTCTCAACTCGAATATGATTAATCATATTTTTAATGTGAGATAAAGATATTTAAAAAAAAATTCTACGTATTAATTAGATTTGACGTCCAAGAACAAATTACTTGAATTACAAAAATTATGTTATCTCACTACAACTACTAATTAGCTTTTTACACAATTAAGTATCGGTTTTCTTGTAACATGTTAGCAGAATAATATATTCTATATCAATTTCATATTAATATAAAATCACTGCATTTCTCCTTTTTTTTTCTCTTTTTTTTTTTCGAGGAATGTCTACAGAACTCTGATAAAACTTTTTCATTTTCAAGTTATTCGCTAGCTACTATCTTAATTTTGAATGTTGGAAGGGCAAATAGTTGCGTGATTTTGAATGGCATGATTTTGCCCGTTCTCAACAGCCTGGCTGTCATGTCTTTGGTTGTTACCTTCCAGCAAACACAGACGACCTAACATTTACAGAATCATTTCTTTAAAGTACTGTGCATTCTGTGAATATTAATGCTTTGCTTATGGAAGGATAAAAAAAAAAAGTTGACGATGACAAAATCATTGATAGTCTATTATATATAATTTGCTTGTATAGAACCTTTCATGCATCTCAAATCATGTGCAGATAAATCCCATGACGCTTACATACAGAATTTTAATTAGAATATAATATAAATTATAACTTAAGATTTTATTACTTTTAGATTAAGATGAATATTAGATAAAAAAAAAAAAGAAGTTAATTCATCGAATCTTCTATCCATTGCACATTATCCAAATGATAATTCCTGCTTATAATTTTAGCCTTTAAAATCATAGAAAAAACAAGGACGATGTCTTTTTTGTCATAAATTTAATTTCTCATGATAGGGGTTAAATATGGCATAATGTGAGATACATGGGGCATGCATTATAATAGCCAATAGGGAAATCTTTTGATTGGGAACACAATAAATAATCCGGTGATACTTAAGGGAGAAAAATATCCTTTGTCAATCCAAAAAGATTATTTGAGTAGAAAGACATCTAATACTTCAAAAAAAGTATTTTTATATTTCAATTTTTGTATATATAAAAATTTTTTTAGATAACTATATCTTTTTTATATATCCGACTGAACAGTAAGAATTAACTTAGGCTTTTGAATGTGAGATGCCTTGATATCTGTAGCTAATATTTTTTTAGGACTTTCTTTTGCGAAATTGCTTTTTGTTACCTACCTAGCATCTATTTGGTAAAGAGAGTAAGAAGATATATATAATTGTTTGTTTTTTTTTGTATGGGCGTTGTTTGGCGCCTTAGATGCAGGTATGCAGCAACGGCATCGGAAATGGTTGTTGCCCCCCTGTCATGTGTGTGGAAAGTGTTGACCTTGGTTTGTGCTAGGCTTGAGGGCTCTTTAGCGAGTCTCTTGAGATTATTTATCAAATATAATTTCTCCAGATTTTGAACGTGTATCTTATTCACTCTTAAGAATTATTTTGCTATAGAATTCGGAATTTGATTAGAGATGGAGAGTCTAATGCAAGAGAGAAATGGAGTTTTAGCGCTTGAGAAATATTTTTGAAAAAAAATAAAACAAAGATAAAAAAATTCCTCTAAATATTTACAACTTTACTATCTTTTTAAGAAGAAATTATTGAATCTTTTACATACAACACACACATACATGTCTTCATATTGTAAAAAAAAATTGTTATAATTAGTCGTAAAACTCTTACCATCCAATTATCGAATTGAGATGAGGGCTGAAATACACATGGCTGCATGGCATCCAACCCTCGTTCACATCTCCTGTACTAAAGGCTCTCAAGGACATTCCCATCCCTTCTACCCGTTCTACGAAGTTATTTGCAGGCTAAGTCACTCCAGCTATGCACCTAAGGGCTAAGGCTGACCACAAATGGGCTTGGATATATATGTATATATATAGAGTAGGAGACCCTCCTCTCTGTAAAAGACAACTAACGCCACTTAGCCAGCTATTCGTCTTTCTTCATGTTTCGTATTCCTCATGTTCGTAAAGTATACTTTTTAATTTTATTATCTGAAAAATAAATCTTGATTTAAAAGCAAAAAAAAAAAAAAAGAAGTTTTAATTGATTTATAGATGACGGGTGGACTAACATTAGTTCCACTCAGAGGAGTGCTATGGCAACCCCTCCAAATCTTGAACTCGAAACCAGCTGTAGACTTCCGTCACACCACTAAGATGACACAAATCAGTGGTGGCATTATAATTATTCCACGTAATTTGAAACGAATCGACACTTTTGCATATTACAAAACCAATAAAATTTCATCAACACAACTTTAAGTATTCTTTGCTTAATTATGATTGCTCTCAAGAATTGACCACATTGCACTTCTTTCTTATCTCTCCCGCACTTCCTCATACATATATATATTTCCAAACACTCAAGGTTCTTAACAGAAATAGGCTATTAGGATTTAAACATATGATTTCTTGTGACTTCTTATTGCAATAAATCATTATTATTCAACTACAAACTCTTTAGTTAAGCACTCCAATAGCTCCCATCCTCTTCAAGGATTGGGAAAATTCAGTGAAAAATTTTCCGGAATCAAGCACTTCATCAACAATATTAGCAGGGCCCTTTTCAGTTAAGAAGTGCAGCATCAGACTGGAACGGCCTTGATTTAGTTTCAAGGTTTTAAAGTAGTCATTGTCAAAAGATAGAGCGATCCCTGGGTCCATTGCCACTGTTGTTACGCTATCTGATAGGCTTTGGCATTTGGTTTTCAAGAAAGCATCATGGGTTGAGTTGAGAGAAGGATCGGCATCATCTTTTCCTTTAAAGTTGTATAACCTGTGGCTAAAGAACTTGCAATGTCCAACTGGACAAATCAGACGGTGTCTTAACTCTTCAGCAAAATGATCATTCAAAACTAAAATCCCCATTCCCCAACAAATTAATGGGCTGGCCTTAATTAATTTGTAACAAGATGCCAACTGTAGGGTTTGATGGGCTAAACACAAGCAAGCATAACTATAAGGTTTTAGGCCCAGAATTTTTTGGCATACCGAGGCGGTGTCCCAGGTTACAAATTATTATTTTTATGTATAATATTAAGGTGACAAATTCGAATTATCATATATTTTTTTATGTGGTAGTAAACTGGTAACAGCGTGGTATTATTTTCCCAATAATAATAATAACAAGGGTAGCTTTTTAAAGCAACATATGATTTCAATGTTTAATATCCTAAATATATTTTAATATATTTTTCTATAGTGGATCATAGGAGTATTTTTTTAATCCAAATTCCTTATAAAGTACCGGCATGGCCCATGAAACACATACCCTAGACGGACTTAATTAAAAGTTAAGCCTCGATCTTTTTTTTGTTACATGCAAGCTATATAATTACGGTGTTAATACGCAGGTATATACGTACCTATTGAGATCATATACTTGTATCAATCTTACTTGATAAGACGACGAGATCATGAACTGTTAAGCGTTTGTTGGCAAATGACTGTTTGAGAGTGGTGAAGTTGGAGAAAGATTAAGGGATGTCGGTTATGCCTCTGAAGCTCGTGATATGCTTCCATCTCTTCTACCAGCTACACCACTTCCCGCATTGACCTATTAAACTGAACCACGCACTTCAATGCACCCCGTTATATCATTACTAGTCGCATGCCTGGCTATGCGCCCAGGGTAATTTGGTTGCTCTTAGTGATTCTTTTTTCTTTTTCTAATATACTTTTAATATCTTTTACTTGTGAAATGCTAGAGTCACTATAGAATTTTTTAACTTCTATAAATAATGAGAAAGAAAAAATAAAGAATCGAAAACTTGTTGTCACATATTATATAAATCATTTCCAAAACGCAACAAATGGATATATATATATATATATATATATATAAAATCATGAAGTTTGAAAACTTTTGCAGTGTGCCTTTTATGTGTGTTGCTTAGTCATGCAATCGAACATCCAGTTGTGAAGCTTAGAAATGCAACATGATAGAAAAGGCATGTTTGTTAAGGAAAATAACTCTGATAGTAGTTTTGTTTAATTAATAATTAGTTGGATTAGTTAACAGATATAATTCTTAGAAAAAATAAACGTGATAGAAAAGTTGCTTGTTAACAAAAACATTATGTATATAATAGGCTTCTTTATATATATATTTAGAAGTAGGAAGGTATTTTCAGATCAACTTTCTTTTCAATCAAGATTAAGTTTACCATTCTTGGAATTAAGCTAGCGTCGTAATACTCGTAGCCTTTTATCAACTATTGAATTGTTTTATATATATATATATATATATATATATATATACTCAATCAGTTCAAAGTTGATACTATTAATAGATAATTATGGTTAGTTATACATGAATAACAAAAACCGAACATTAGTTTTAGTCAAATCAAAATAATCTTTTTTTCCAAGTTAAAAATCACATTCCTTGGTATGTGTATATATATATATATATATATATATATATATATATATATATATATATATATATATATATATAGATAATTATGGTTAGTTATACATGAATAACAAAAACTGAACATTAGTTTTAGTCAAATCAAAATAATCTTTTTTTCCAAGTTAAAAATCACATTCCTTGGTATGTGTGTGTGTGTGTCTATATATATATATATTAAAAGGATTAGATTACAAATTTAAATTGTTAAGGAAAAAAATGTATGTTAACAAAAATAACTCCAATAGTTAGTTTAAGAATTAATAATTATTCGTCATAACGGTTTAGTTAACAGATTCAATTGTTAAAGGGAAGGAAAAAAAAAGATGACATTAGACTAAAATAGAAGGGGAATTTATCATTCACTTTGGTGATATTTTATAAAACTGAAAATTAAGTAGTGAATCTGTTAAGTACTAAATAATTAAGTACCGAATATATTATGGATAAATTATTTGGTATTTACTGAAAATTAAGTATTGAATATAATAAGAGTATTTAATAAGTATTGTCGTTAAACATATTAAGGCTATATATATGACAATTTTAACATTACAATTGTAACATGATATTTTTTTAACACAAATAAAAATATATACATTGATGTGTTTGTGTGTATAAATAAATAAATAAATAAAAATATTATTAATAAAAAAATAAACAAGAGGGTGGGTGTTATTATTTGGTAGTGGGTTCTCGTCAAAGAAATCAATTTGCAACAGATTCTATAGATGGATGACCATAGGAAAAAGGCTTGCCGACCCTTGAGAATACTAGCACACCAACCTTAGCACCACATAGGGTCACAACTCACTTGCCTTTTGTAGATCCCATATTTATGTTTTGAGAATGAGATTAACATATCATCTTCATTTTCTTTCCTGTTTTATTGTGATCTTTTGCCTACATTTGGTTTGAATGCCTGCCATTAAGAACGAAAAAAACTTTTAGACTAGACACCAAAAAAAAAAAGAAAAAAAAGAAAGAGATATGATAATGGAGAATGTCTCATTTGTTTCGACAATGGGAATAGTAGAGATCGTTTTCCAATCAGCTTGTGTGGCTAGGGTTATAAAAATATATAAGAGTTATTTAGTCATATTTAAAAAAATTTTAAAATCTTTCAACCGAATGCGTGAATAAAAAAGTTTTAAGTTAAAAACTTTAACTTATATAATTAAGTAGATTTTAACTTAATTTAAAATTTAAATATGAAATTATTTAGATTATCAAATAAAATTTTTATATTAAGTAACACAATTTATTTTTTTTAAATTAGTTATCAAACATACCCTTAGTTTTCAAACTTAATTCATTGAAAAGAAACAGTCTCCAGCAGCTGAAGTAATGATATCTACACTGGAGACAACGCCTGGACATGTCTTCTTTAGTTGAGTCTTCACCTATCTATAACATCGAAACCTGTTAGAGATTGGTTTGGAACTGCCGCCTTTTCAGCTGTGTTATTCGTTGTGGAATCCAACAATATCGATGCATCACAGCCCTAATGTATCGCAAGGTATATAGACATATATAATTAACAAAATAAATGAAGTGAAGTTAATGCTTGTAATTTAACGTTAATTATAATTACCCTGACAAAAAAATCATGAAAATGCATCATTAGCAATTTTACGGGTCATGCTGAATTGCTAGCAACATGTTTCCAAGTAATGTTCTTAACAATATACTCGGCTGATGGACAACCATCCTAATAAAAAAAATTTCCTCAACTCCATCCATGGCAAACTATCACAAGTTCAAGAAGTAATGCAATAGAGACAAAGACGAAAATTAAGCTACTCTCTCTCTCTCTTTGTTTTACAATTAGTAAATACTAGTATATATCATGCACGTTGTCGCGAAGTGAACTATATAATATTTTTATGTGTTCATTCATATAAAATTTAAAATTTAAAAATAATTATGTAAAAGGATCACACGAAAAAAATTCGAAATGAGTTATATAACATTCTTATCTATTCATTCATATAAAATAAAAAATTTAAAAATAATTATTTAAAAAGATCACATAAAATTTTTTTTAAAAAAAATCAAAACATATATCTTATATTTTACCGTAGGGTTAACTAAACGAAAAGCCCGCAACAAAGTTGAGTAATATAATGTTACTAATTAGATATTGTTTGATATAAACATATATTTTATTAGAAATATATATAATAATTGGTAATTAAAATAATAATGTGGTAGTTTTTTAAATTTTAGATGATTAATTTTTACTATATATTCTTCATCCGTAATTTTTTAATGAGATAGAGAGACCACCCAAAACAAAAAGACAAAAAACTTTGTCAAATCGAGAATTAGGAAAAAAAATAGAGATAAAATTACACATGATCAAAATAAAGTAAAGATCATAAAAGAATGATAAAAAAAAAACTTTTACTAAAAGCCAAAAAAAAAAAAAACTTATAAACAATAAGATTGTGAATAGTTTTACTAAAAGCCAAGAAAAAAATATTTATTATGGGAAAAAAATCAAATATGATAAAATTTCAATATTTATTACAGGAATAAAAAATCAAATATAATAAAATTTAAATGACTAAAATAATAAAAGGTTACAAAACATGAACTAAAATAAAAATAAAATTCGTTAAAAGCCAAAAGAGGGGCTTAAAAAATACATGAAGAGAAAAAAATGATTTACTATAGTAATAAAAATTAAATATAATAAAATTTTAATGATCAAAATAAAAAAAGTTACAAAACAGGGACTAAAATAAAAATAAAATAAAATTTTAATATTTATTATAGGGACAAAAATGAAATATAATAAAATTTTAATAACCACAATAAAAAAAATTACAAAACAACGATTAAAATAAAAATAAAAATCACTAAAAGCCAGAAGAAGAGCTTAAAAAATGCAGCAAGAAAAAAAAAGATTTATTATAGAACTAAAAATCAAATATAATAAAATTTTAATGATTAAAATAAAAAAATTTACAAAATAGGGACTAAAATGTAAAATTAATTTAAAGTCACAAGAGAAACTTAAAGTAGCAAGAGAAAGAAAGAAAAAAAACAAAACAAAACCGGGCTATGGGCAAGGCAAGGCAAGCGGGAAAAAAGAAAGAGAAAAAAAAAACCCCTGGCTATAAGCAAGGCAAAAAAATATATATAAAAAATAAAACAAAACAGTGAACAGTGAGTAAACAGTAAAAATGTTACACTATTTTAACGTTTTGTTTTAGTTTTTTTTTGCAACGTTGCTTTATGCTTGCTCCACCACGTTACTTCTCAATGCTCCTTTATATATATAAGCTAACATCCTAATAGTCATGTGTCTTTTTTCATGATTGGCAATGCATTAACCTTACTAAAAATTGATGAGCAAAATAGTGTTTTAAAATGATATAATTACAATATAAGTATATTAATTTTCAATTTTTTCTCAACAATATATAAATTTTAATTTTTTTATTTG